AGGTAAATATATAAAGTTCAAAAACCTTTCCAATCTCTTCCAATTTATAGTATAAAATACCTTTATAAATTATAACCTTTATATCAATAAAAGTACATGAAAAACACTAAAAGATTGATCCTAACTAGGATTCCTAGGTTTCTTGTTTTCCAATTTCACCTTTCTATAACTTTATTTATTACTTAATCTATTTTAAACAAAAAAAATCTAAAAAGAAAGATCGATACAAAACCCCACTTTATTTTTTTAATCCATCAGGCTAATCCAAATAAGCAAAACTACGTATGGACTATGGATATTAGTTGAGAAAGAATAATCTTGAGGAGAAATGATAAAAATATATTATACTACGTATATGACAAAAAAGAACACACAAGCACCAAGAAGAATATAAGGTCTTGGAAAAATGGGTAAGCTAGAAAGAAAGCAGAATAACTACGAATTCATTCGGTAGTTGCGCCATCTTTTTCCCACACCGAATAATATAGCAAAGTACTGTCCAACGCTGGTTATATAATGAACCAACTTAACTTCTCAAAACTCAAGCAGCCATGCTTTGAGCACAAAGCGAACTATTCTTTCGCCTTTTACTAAAGAATACCGTGTGCGCGGCGTAATAAATGGCATACTCCCATTTTTGGAATGGGGACTTCCTCTTGGAAGGCACCACACAAATTTAGTAAAAATATTCCTTGTATCAATGCACTAGCTCTTTAATGTTGTGATAGTTCTTCGAGGGCTGTTGTTTGATGTTGTTATTGCATTGTTCATGTAGGTTCTCTACGTGATAAATTGTGTTTATAGTGGCTTCTCAAAAATTACATATTAATTAAAAATGCAGATAAAAGTATAATTTGAGAAATAAACTTGATAGGTATATAATTTAAGGAAATTAGTAATGATAATTGTGGTGTTATAAATGTATTGCTGTTAGGGATAACTACGGAAAATGTACATATGGTTGAACCCGTTTTCAGATATGTCTCATTTTTTAACAAAGTGGGTCCTGATATCAGATGCCGTTAGAAATCGCCGGAGGAAAATGATGATCAGTAACCCCAATTTCCAAAAGTGTTCGCAAAACTAAAAGAAAAATATTGAGAGGTGCGTCTCAACAAAAAAATATCTAGGCCATCTTTCTTTAATAACGGTCGTCACTTGTAGCCAAGACTCTCCTATGATAACAAAGTTTACACACATGACTGGTTTAAAAAAAAGAAACACATGACCCTATCTGAAAACGGGTCCAACCACAAGTATATTTTCAGCACTTTTCCCCTATTTTTGATATTTGATCATTAAGTGGACATTTAAGAGTGTCAGTTGTTTCTTAAAATAGAGATTAAAACATTTATATGAGACATTCTAAAAAGAAAAGTGAGAACCTTTATATGTGAGAACCAACAAAGAAGTATAGAGCAATAGTGCGCAGTTCGAGTGTTTAAATGAGTTACGAATAAACACAGACCAATGGCTACATTGTTTATAAGAGCTTATTTGATTACACATATTTTCAATTGACGGGTCAATTTTTATCACACACATAACATTTGATTTTACGCGTTAAATTGTATGATAACCAAATTAAGTATGATTGAAGTTACTTTTGTAGTTGAATTTACTAAAAAGATTGAGATGACTATTTTAGCTTTTTATCATTATTTTTTTTATTTCAGTAGTAAAATATAATTTAAATATAGAGGAAGCGGTCTAGCTAACTGGTCGCCGACTCACTCTCCCATATAGGAAGTCTCAGGTTCAAAAAACGGATAGAAGAGATCAAATTTTAAGTTGAAAATGTGGTGACATTTTGATAATTATGATGAACTTTAAATTAAAATATTGTAACAAATGTGTACTAGAACATGCAAAACATGCACATGTAGATCATAAAAGTGCATTAATGTATATAATAAAATATTCACAAGTTTTTAACATTTAAAATATGCAAATTATACAGTTTATACTATGAGCATTTGCACATTTTTTGTAGCGTGCCTTATGACCAAAGTTCATCTAATCCATCCATTTTCATGTGATTAAAGGAAAAGATTTGTTCTCACTTTTCACGGGAAGATTATTCTTTACTTGAACCAATTCACCCACACACACATAATATTTTCACAATTCTGCCAAATTTATCAAATTTAGTGTTACCAAACATGATCTAAATTTTCCCAAGAACCTTGCATAGCTACAAAGTATTATTAGAGTTATTTTTTTGAATGCTGCCAACTCATTTAATTACCACATCAGAGTTGAGATCAAATTCACCTTTACCAAACCAAACTTGTACAAGTGCAACGAATAAACTTGGGTTACGCGCACAGGTAGATCAATGGTTATTGAGTAGGCTGAAGATAAAATTGTATACGGTGCCTCAACGTCTCAGTTTAACCTTCCACAATCATTTAACGATCCTCCTGAAGCCTCGACTTCGTATCAGCCATATGTGGATGAAGATCAGAATTATCATGTTCCTCATATTGAAGATTTAGGTGAGAGATTTCAAGATGTTCTGAAAGCAGCCGATCAACCTCTCTATGTTGATTGTGAGGGATACCCTCAGGTATCTGGCGTTTCAGAGTTGCTTCAGGGCTGTTGCAGTCAATTGGAGGAATGCTACCACGTGACCACAGTCTTTCTGATACATATTAGAACATGAAGCAATTAATTTCTCAGTTAGGGCTTCCTTGTATAGAAATTGATGCGTGCCCTGAAGGATGTATGTTGTTCTGGAAGGATGATGAGACACTCGAGAGTTGCAAGTTCTGTGGTGGAGAGAGATACAAACCTGTTCCTCAAAGGAAAAAAACCATGAACAATGCCCGCATTATCTAAATTGCTTTACCTCCCACTTGCTCCACGTCTAAAGAGGATATATGCTTCAAATGCTACAGCGAGACACATGACATGACATGTTGAGCATGAAACCAAAGAGGGTTTGATGTCTCACCCTTCGGTCTCTGAAGCTTGGAGACACTTTGACCTGTGTCATCCTCAGTTTGCAATGGAGCCACGGAATATGCGACTGTGATTGTGTTCACGGATTCGCTCATTTTGGAAAGTTTGGGAAGCAATTTTCATGTTAGCCAGTCATGTTAACTCCTTACAATCTACCTCCCGACATGTGCATGAAAAGTCGTTTCATCGTTTTGATTTTAATTTGTCCAGGTCCCTCAGATTCTAAAAAAAGGATATACATCTATCTGCAACCCCTGATCGAGGAGATGAAAGAACTTTGGGCCATTGGGACACCAACTTATGATGTTTCAAGAGATGAAATGTTTATCATGAAAGCTGCCATCATTTGGACCATTAGCAACTTCCCTACCTATGGTATGCTTTTAGGATGGAGCACACACAGTCTTATGGGATGTCCGATATGTATGGAGCAATCAGGTGCCAATTGGCTCAAATTTAGCGGGAAACCAAGTTATTTTGATTGTCACCGCAAATTACTCCCGACAAAGCATCAATATTGAAGGGACACAAAATCTTTCATTAACGGAAGAGTGGTACGAGACCCCCCACCCCCGAGACTTTCTGGCGAACAAATTTTTAACTGGGTTCGACGTATTCCTTTAGCAATGCAACAACCACACAATGTCACGCCCCAGACCTATCCGGACACGTCAACAATCCGCCGTACAATATGAATAGTCAACCATAGTCTAACTCATCCATATTATACAAGGCGTCTCGAATATCATTCACACATAAGTCATCCATAAACATACATAATAAGTAATTGAATACGCAGCGGAAATCATAGTTTGAAAACAAGTGCCACACGGGGCAAACACGAGCACGCAGGTCCCATAATGAAAAACAATATCCATGAGCATGTTTAAATTGTTTAAAAACAGAATGGAGGAAGCACGAACCAAGTCTTCCCTCCGAGATGATCGCCCGATCAACAAGCACAGGTAGCAAGCTCTAGCCTCAACCTAAAATGGTGGTGGGACGCCCCCCGAAAGGGGGTCAGTACTTTATACGGCTATAAAGTACTGGTGTGGATGGCATCTAATAGATACACAACAAGTATTTCAAACACAAGACCCTCAAATAGGGTGATAATATAATCTAGGCCGTAACCCCAAGTTACCCCTTTTCAAAATATACTTACTTTATATATAAAGTCAAGTAGTCGGCCCATGGCCCAATGTTCATTTACAAAACATAACCCAAACTCCGTGACCCCTAGTCACGACAATACATAGGGTTCAACCCTAACACACATGTTTGTATTCCTCGAGTCCAACTCGACTATATCACCATGCACATCATTCACAAGTCAATTACTCCACCAATCTCCGACGTCATGTTCACCCATGCAATTCTAGAGCATCGGGCTCAAGTACATCTCCTTACATGGGCTGAACCAAATCCTTATGTCTACTCAATGCAATTCTAGAGCATCGGGCTCAAGTACATCTCCTTGCATTGGCATAGACCCCAATTCCTAAGCACTCGCTATGCCTAGAATTGTAATATCAATAATCTATTTCAGGACATCCTTACGAACTGCCTCATCATGATCTTAGCATCATATTACATCAATTTAGTCACTTGAACCACAATCAAGTACATCACTTACAATCAAATCCTTAGATTCAATTCCTTAACAATTACAAACACTCATTAACTAGTATTCCAATACTATTAAGATTCTCCCCATCAATCATATATTTCATTTGTAAATCCCTACATATTTATAGATATGTAGCAGCAACTTTCTCATCCAATGTAATACACAATTAATCATTTATGTACCTACACAATTCACACATGAATAAAAATGCCTATTTCACACAATAGTTCATTTAACTCCATTTTTATCCATATGATTTCAAATCATTTGCAATTTCATTCCTTATCTAGTATATCAATATTTCATCAATATTCAGTCATTATAATCCATGAAAAACATGATTTAGGCATTTAGGTAGTCTCATGCTTAACCTACAAGTTGTAAGCAACTAGATGTCGATCCTCACCTTAAATGAGCTTTAAATTTTTCTTTCTTGATCCAATGGTCAAAGCTTCGGCCAAGGTGGTTTAAGAATTGATTCCTTGCTTAAAATTGAGTGTTATGAAGCCTCCTCACAGTGCTAGCTCAACCCCTAAACGTCGACATGAAAACAGTCCCTAGAACGGGTGTTTTCCGGCGAATTTGTTCCCTAACCTTTCAAGGATTTGTCTAGATTAGTATCTAACCTTTCCAAAAATAAAAGTTACTCTATAATAACATTTATACACTTAAACCAGTGTATAATAGTTCTTCAATCATTCATAGGATTTAGGCAATAGAAAGGAAGGTTTTGGATTCAAACTTACTTTGAATACCAAAAATGTATTGGTTGCGTTCTGTTCGGATGATTTGGAGGCCTTAAACTGCTCATTTTGACACAAACCGCACCTCTATGGATTCCTCTTTTGGAGATGTTTCTTTTGGCACCTCACACGCCTCGATTGGATGTGTATTTCTCAAGATACAACGCAAACAGTGAGCTCCACGAAATGGAATGAATCCATGTGGTCAGCTCTCCTTCTTCTTCCTTTTTCTTGGGTTGTGCGGCTCTCCCTTCCTCCTTAACCTTTTAGTTCAAATGGGGTGAGGGAGAGGTGTTTAGAAGCTCTCAAATGCTTATTCTCACATGTGGTTCACAAAAAATAGGTAGGGTGTTTGATTCCAATCAAACATGGGATGATCCTCCTCTTTTATTTCTCTTTTGTATTGTTTGAGCTTTCAACGCAATAGATCCGTTTCATTTATGTGATCTAACTTATCCTACCTGTTTTGCAGGTGCTAGGAAGGTGTAGGACGTACTCTCATGTCCCCTAATTAATTTGGGAGCAAAATTTCTACCAATACATCCAAAAAGGAAAGATGAGTCCTATTGTATTTGTCTTTTGTCATAACATGTACTTTTGTACTCTCCTCAATTTATTTAGAACAAGTCAACCTTCTACATCATATTATTGATATCTAATACGTGTAGAGTGGTCCCAATAATTTATTTGATGTACAATTACAAAAGAAAACCCTACTCCCATTATTTAGCCTAAAAATGCCAAAGATGGGACCAAAGGCATTTGTATTTTTCTCCATTCATTCCATCATTCATTTATGATATTAATATTTATATATCTGGGCTACCAACCTTGTGGGTCACCCACCAATGGGTCTAGGACGCCATTCTTGACAAATTACTATTTTTAGCAGGTTGGGCCCAAAATAACATTTGGGCTGCCCGACCGAACTTACATTGTACCGAGGGGTTGTATATCTCTATTTAAGGATGTTGGGTCCCAATATCAATAATATGGCCTAATTAATTATTTAGAAGTCCATTACCATTATATGAGCTCAAATAGTAATATGATTAATCATATGTTCCGTAAAACTTTAATCGTTTTACAATTGTTCGAAAATAGGGAAATTCAATAGATAAGCTTTGAAATTAAATTTAAATTTCGTTCGGGTGTGGTGTCACACACAAGGATCTGAATTTTTAAATGAATTTGATATCTGAATTTTTATTAAAAATTGGGGGAAAATATTTTTATTTTTTTTTAAAATTAAAATGTTTGTCATGGACTCCGGCCGTTACAAAAGTTTAAACTTTTTAAAATTTTATAAAATTATTCCGGTATAAAACATTTTTTTAAATAAAAATATTTGTCACGGATGTTTTGCGTGACAAAGTGAAAATTTTGAATTCACAACGAATTTTCAACTTACCCACCCACCCTATTCTGTTTTTTTTTTAAATTCAAAAAATATTTGTCACGGATAAATCCGTGACAAAATGAAAATTTTGAATTCAAAACATTTCGACGTACCCGCCCAACCTATTTCAGAAATTTTTAAAAAACAAATCCAAAAAAGTTGGTCACGGATAAATCCGTGACAAATATAAACCGGCGTTGCCCCGGTAAGCTGTTTTGTCACGAAAATATGCCGTGACTAATCCGTGACAAACTTTGTCATGGTCCCGTAGCTGTGACAAATAGTTTGCCACACCTGATTTGTCAGTGTGTGTCCGTGACAAAATCCGTGACAAAAAAAATTTGTCACGTTTTTTTTGAACTGTTTGCCGTGAAATTCCGTGACAACCGGGTTGTGTTTTTGTAGTGTGTATTAGATGAGAACTTTCTCTTGCTTGTTTTCCAGTTGTGTTACTCACCATTAATGATTTTTAGTCATATTTTGATCAATCAAGTTTGTAGTCATATAATGGGAAATCTTCTCCCTTTTGATAATAATGCGGTAAATTTCCCTAAAATTAAAATTGATTGAACTATTTTTAACAAAGCAAGTTTCATTATTATATTAATGACAAAAAGCCATTGTATATCATACATTCAAAAAATGATTGATGTACATTGATAAATAAATATAATTATTAGGTAAATATATAAAGTTCAAAAACCTTTCCAATCTCTTTCAATTTATAGTATGAAATACCTTTATAAATTATAACCTTTATATAAAAAAAAGTACATGAAAAACACTAAAAGATTGATCCTAACTAGGATTCCTAGGTTTCTTGTTTTCCAATTTCACCTTTCTATAACTTTATTTATTACTTAATCTATTTCAAACAAAAAATACCTAAAAGAAAGATCGATACAAAACCCCACTTTATTTTTTTAATCCTTCACGCTAATCCAAATAAGCAAAACTACGTATGGACTATGGATATTAGTTGAGAAAGAATAATCTTGAGGAGAAATGACAAAAAAGAACAAACAAGCACCAAGAAAAATATAAAGTCTTGGAAAAATGGGTAAGCTAGAAAGAAAGCGGAATAGCTACGAATTCATTCGGTAGTTGCACCATCTTTTTCCCACACCGAATAATATAGCAAAGTACTGTCCAGCACTGGTTATATAATGAACCAACTTAACTTCACAAAACTCAAGAAGCCATGCGTTGAACACAAAGCGAACTATTCTTTCGCCTTTTACTAAAGAATACCGTGTGCACGGCGCAATAAATGGCATACTCCCATTTTTGGAATGGTGACTTCCTCTTGGAAGGCACTACACAAATTTAGTAATAATCTTCCTTGTATCAATGCATTAGCTCTTTAATCTTGTGATAGTTCTTCGAGGGCTGCTGTTTGATGTTGTTATTGCATTATTCATGTAGGTTCTCGACGTGATAAATTGGGTTTATAGTGGCTTCTCAAAGACTCAAAACAATGATACAGTTATTAAAAATTACATATTAATTAAAAATGCTGATAAAAGTATATTTTGAGAAATAAACATGATAGGTATATAATTTAGTGAAATTAATAATGATAATTGTGATTGTTGGTCCAAAATAGGACGCTCGTAGGCTTTTAGGAAAGCTACGTACGACACTCAAGCAAGAATTAGGAAAGTACGAATATGGAAAGTTAGCCAGAAATAGCATATCTGTATTTGAAATTCGAATTGCCTTTTATAGGCGATTACAAATGGTAACTGCCGAACATAAAAATGTCTAAATTAATTACAACATTAATACGGAATTAAACACATAATTAAGTCGCGCATTGATCGTTGGCCGTTACTTTTCCTGGCTGGCAGGCTGGACGCTTGAGCTCCCTCCTGCTGGACTGGACGGTGGGCTTCCCGCTAGGCTGGAGGAAGGCTTCTGACCGGGCTGGAGGCAGGCTCCCGGGTAGGCTGGAAGGCAGGCTCCCGAGTAGGCTGGAAGGCAGGCTCCCCGTTGGGCTGGAGGTAGGCTCCCACCTGGGCTGGACCGCAGGCTCCCAGTTGGGCTGGATCGCAGGCTCCCAGCGGGGCTGGTGGTCGGCAGGCTCCTGGCTAGGCTGGAAGGCAGGCTCCCCACTGGGCTGGAAGGCAGGCTCCCCACAGGGCTGGAAGGCAGGCTCCCCATTGGGCTGGTCGACAGGCTCTCTTGGGCTTCCGCTCCTTGATCGCCCTGATTGGTTGGGCCGACTCGGGCTCTAGGTTGTTGGACTTGGGCCCGCTGGTCCGAGTTCGGGGCCTGGGCCGATTAGGCTCTGGGCCTGGTCCCATAACCCCATCAGTGATGTTATAAATGTATTATTGTTAGGGATAACTACGGAAAATGTACATATGGTTGGACCTGTTTTCATATATGTCTCATTTTTTAACAAAGTGAGCCTTGTGTTTAAACTCCATAATCACGAGAGGGTCCTGACGTCAGATGCCGTTAGAAATCGCCGGAGGAAGATGATGAACAGTAACCAAGTCCAAGAGGAATTATTCTCAATTTCCACAACGGCCCACACAATCGGATACATTTGATTATTTGTGTCCCTTCCAACGGCTGTAAGAATTTCTCCCTTGAGCTGCCCTTTAAGAAAACAACCATCCACCCCAATTACCTGTTTACACCCATTAAGAAATCCATTTTTCACTGGTCCAAATCATATGTAAATTCTCTGGAACATACATGGACCATCAGGGACAACCCTCACAGTCTTAACAACAACAGTGCTCCCAGGTATTGACTTCAAGCACTCCTTAGCATAATTCCTAACTCTCTTAAACTGATCTTTAAATGCAGACTTTGTCTTTTCTTGTATTCCCCTTACGGCTCTAGTAGCCATGCTAATACAAATATTAAAGTTTAGTTCTGCTTTAACTAAGGCTTTGAACTCTACAGCACCAATGCATGGATATTCAGTGACCTTGTCTTCAAATCTTTCCTCTAACCATTTTCGGCTAACGATCTTCTGTTTGAACTTAGAATTGCACAAATGCTCACTTTTCAACACCTTCACTTGAAAGCATTTCAGACGCCTCTCCCAACTGGCAGTACAACGAAAAGGACAGGTGACACCACACTTCACCCTTACCCTTGTAGGCTCATTTTTAATAAAATGAATGTCTTTTTTGTTATGCACTGCATACCGTATGATAGCATCCTTAAACTGCCTACCATCTTCAAAGAGCATGGCCAACTCTACTGAAGGAGGATCAGATTGAGGGTTATATGAAGAATGGATGGGTTTCTTTCTTTTAGGCTTAACAACTCCACTTTCTGACTCCTCATCTGAGTCCAAGCTACATGGATTATCTGAGTCATATTTTGTACTACAGTATTCAGAATAGCACATTCTTAGTTCAACCCTGTCAAACATTCTGAAAAGCACGTGGTTGGTTGGTATGACTTCTAGTGAGCATATAAAGATTAACATGATATAGCTTACTCTAATCACTTAATAAAGAACATAACGACATCAAAAGGAATGTAAGCACTGATTCTGCCCATTAAATGTTCAACAAATCAACAAACAAACCAATCACAAATGGGTCCCAAAGGTTAATGTACCGTTCCAAAGTTCTCATAGAAGTAAACATACATACCTGTAATGCGCAGAACTAAATGCGAGAAGTAATGTCAACCACCCACGCGTTGTCCTCTCTAGTTCATAGCCGACTCCAAGAACGTGAAACTTAGGGTTAAACTAATTTGGGGGGGAAATGGTCGTTGAAGCGAGGTTATAAGAAATATAAACGACGCTTACAAAATGCTTACATGGATAATTGCAGCCACATCACTACCCATGTGAGCAATTAACCGGCAAACCGGGAGCACACCGACTAAAATGCGATTTTGGTTTTTTTTGTAAGTTGGGGGATTTAA